GCGCGGGAGACCCCTTTCGGCTTCCTGCCGGCCAAGATGGCGCCCAAGGCGAAGAAGGAGGGTGAGGGCGCGGGGCGAATGTTCCGTGTGTGAGGGGGTGCGGGACGGTGTGAGGGACCCCACGGGGTGCGGGTGTATACGGAGGGAGGCGGGCTGAGCGGGGCGGGGAGAATGAGGCAGGGTTGCGGCGCAGTGCTGGGTGCGGGCACGTGGAGGTGGCAGGATAGGCCTGCCCGGTTCTCTGAGGGAGGTGTCCCCATCTTGGTGAGGGAAGGACTAAATGCCTCTTTCCTCTGGGGAATTGGTTTGTTCGGGGGGGGAGGAGGGAAATACTAACGCCACTGGGCGTTTTGTGGTTCATTTTGGTTGGGTGAGGTCCTGCTCATTGACGAGGGGAAGCCGTGCCCGGCTCACTGAGGTGTCTCCATAGCTGTGCCTCCGAAGACAGAGGCGAAGGCAAAGGCGCTGAAGGCCAAAAAGGCCGTTCTCAAGGGGGTCCACAGCCACAAGAAGAAGAAGATCCGCACGTCACCCACCTTCCGCAGGCCCAAGACCCTGCGGCTGCGGAGGCAGCCCAAGTACCCCCGGAAGAGCGCCCCACGGAGGAACAAGTACGTGTGGGTTGTTGGGCTCTGCCCTGCTGCGGGGTTTGGGAGCAGCCCCGGGGGTGGGCTGGTGTGGGGACCTCCCTCTCACCTGGTCACACTTTGTCAGTGTGCTCAGCCACATGTTGGTGGCAGAACACTGGAGGGATGTTTGGGGTGCAGGTGATGATTTCAAGCGACCAAAGCCTGAGAGTTTGTGATTATAACTTTTTTGGCGACTGATGCACCCCAGACAAAGCCCCCAAAGTGCAGAGAAGCACCTGCCATCCCTCTGCTAAGCACAGGGTCTCTCCTGCAGGTTGGACCATTATGCCATTATCAAGTTCCCTCTGACCACAGAATCAGCCATGAAGAAGATCGAGGATAACAACACTCTGGTTTTCATTGTCGATGTCAAGGCAAACAAGCACCAGATCAAACAGGCTGTGAAGAAGTTGTATGATATTGATGTGGCCAAGGTCAACACATTGATTAGGTGAGAAGTGGGATAAAAACATGTCACTGGTGGGTGTGAGGTGCTTCAAAAGAAGCATTTTTCAGCTGAAAGTGGGAGTGTGTGAGTTTCAGCAGCTGAGGGAACTCTCAGGAGGAGAGGGACAAAGCTATGTAGCAATGGCCTCTCCAGGACAAGAGGAAATGGCCTCCATCTCTGCCAGAGGATGTTCAGGTTGGACATCAGGAGGAATTTCTTCACGGAAAGGGTTTTTAAACATTGGAATGGGCTGCCCAGGGAGGTGGTGGAATTGCCATCCCTGGAGGTGTTTAAGAAATGACTTAGTGCCATGGTGTAGTTGACAAGTTGGTGATTGATCTAAGGTTAGACTTGATGGTCTCAGAGGTCTTTTCCAACCTAAATAATTCTGTGATTTCAGTGTTAAAAGTTTTGAAACATGCAAGTTGTGAGGGAGCACAGCTTGATGGAAGTGGGAGGTGTTGGCAGACCAGAGGGTCAGCTTTGTCAGGGGTCTCTTCCAACACCCAGGGAGTCCTGTGCAAATGATGTAAACTTCAATTCCACTGAGTAACAGTGATGTTTCCAAAGGAACCACTGATGCACATGGGAACAGTGGGAAAGCAGAGCAGGTGAGAGGAGTTGGCTCTGTTCTGATGCCTCGTGTTCCCTCTAGGCCTGACGGAGAGAAGAAGGCTTATGTCCGACTGGCTCCGGATTACGATGCACTGGATGTGGCCAACAAGGTGAGACATCTTTGAAGCTTTACTGCTCCCTGTTGGTTGTCTTATGTCTCCCTCGCTGATTGTTCTTCCTGCTGTGCATGTGAGGTACTTGTGCTTCAAGTATGGTGGCACTTCTGTGTCCCTGTAGCCAGGATCTGAGTGTTCAGGAGCACAGCCACATTCCATGTCAGTTCAGTCCTCAAGGTAGCAGGAGGCAGTGGTGGTAGAAATTGGAGTAGGAGAATGTACGAGGATCACTCTGGAATAAACATACAAAGTGGATGTGTAAGGCTTTTGGGCAGGTCTGGGAGGAAGAAGTTGTCCTTGGAGGACAGGCATCCTGGGGAGATGCAGCTGTGGCAAAAATGTCTGAGGTAGAGACTCTGCCTTTTTGCCACCATAACATCTGTTTTAACATCCTTTGCTTCTTTCCAGATTGGAATCATCTAAACTGCATCTGCCGAGGACTGTACAGACATGATAATAAACCTTCTTACACCACTGAGGGCTCTTGCGTTTTGTGACAGCATAACCAGTGTGAAAGAGAGCACTCAGCAAACTTTGGGGCTTCATTTTGGTGAAGGGGGTTCCTCCCTCTGTTCCTGGCAGTGGGTGGGCAGAGCCAACTGCTCCATGAGAGGATCTTGCAGGGGGCAGCGCTGTCCTGCTCAGGGGGTCTCCAAGATCACTCACCTCTGCTGTGGGTGAACATGAGGTGAAACCTCCCCTAAATCTCAAATATCTATATTTACCCCAAGACCTCTGGTGTTCTCCAGGATTTCCTTGTACAGTGTAATTAGGATGTGTTTGTAATCAGTGCTTTTGGTGTCCTGCGTTGCTTTCTTGTGGAGCAGACCGTGGGAGGTAGGTGGTGACCACAGCAAAAACCTGTCAGTGGCTCAGATCTGGCACAAGTGACCTCTGACACCATTTTACGAGTGTATCAGCTCTCTGCTTATGCTGCAGGTTCACTTGAAACCCTCACAGCTAATCCAGCAGCAGAGGCTTTGTGTTTTTTTCTGGCACAATCCCTGCTCCATGTGCTGCAGCGTGTGAGTTTCCCTGCTGCTGTTCCTCACAGGGTTCACCATCCTCTGGGCTGTTTCCAAATGCTGCTGTTGCTGCCTCTGCAGTGTTTGGCTTTAAGTTTGTAGGTGGAACCGGCTTTTAGAGTGCTTGGAGTCAGGAGGATGTGGAGCACTGGGTGAGCAGGGAACAGGAGAGTTACGGAAAAGCCTTTAGGGGTACTTGAGCTTAAATACATAGACTTGACTGAGAAAGATGATGAAAGCTGTGACCAAATATTGATTGGGGCTAATTGAGCTCTTGAGCAGTGGGACACAGAGTTCCTTCGGGCCTCTCGTGGAGAGTGTCGGATTCCCGGGGTGGTGGTTTGCAGTGTGAGGGATGGTGGTGGGTGGAAAAAGGGGAGTGGATGCTGTGGGTGGGCAGCAGCAGGGTCCCCT